TTATCACGTCTCGAGAAAGAGAGTAAATATTCCAGCACACTCTTACCTACTGGAGCTTTGCCTAAACCGAGAAATAGTTATGATATGGATTCGACTGCAGGTATGACGAAAGCACTTGGTTACGTGTTGATAAAGTCAATTTACAATATTAACGTTGCCTTTTTAATAATTAGTGACTCAAAATTTTGAATAAGACAGTCTTACAAGGTTTTATTCCCAATCTTATAATTCGGTTATTTAAATGAGAAATAAAATTAGTGCAAGATATCGATAGACAGACTAGTAGAAAGTAGGTTTGACTGTGTAAAAGATTGGGTATTGGTATTTAAATTATCGAGAACCAACAATTAAATGTTTGTTCTATTCATTCATTCATTCACGTCATCAAACGTTCCCTTGGCGTCGGGTAAAGTTTGCCGTTGTTCTTCTACTTTCGTCGAGTCATGTCTGAAACGGACAAGCGACGCTTGGGTTTGGTTTGGTTTGGTAACTGTTTGTCTATGAGAGCCGATTGAAAAGTGTGGCTGTCTCTTTTTAAATCGTGCTGTTTCAACTTTTTAACCGCAGCGGATACTGGTAATTGCATCACCCGTAAAGTCCGTATATATTATACAGCCACAATGAGTAAAAACATTCGAGAACCACAATTTTGTATACAAGTTGTGAGGTAATTATATTAAACGTCATTCCATAACTACTTCGTCAATTTTTATAAAATGTCTTTCCATCAATCGGAAGAAAGAGTTCAGTTGAAATTGAAAAGTAAGCGAATATTACTTAACTTATGCTCAACTGTAACGCAATGGCTTAATATACTTCGGACGACTAGCACGTTTTGTCAGCGCGTCTTGTTATAAACATCCCGAACTTTTCTGATCACATGACATTAATACTAACGATATCATGTGATCTGCAAAATTTTACTACTGTATTCTCATTGTCCTAGTTGCAAAATGTCGCTGAAACCTTACCAACGTGATTTTATAAGTTTCGCAATAAAACACTCTGCGCTACGGTTTGGCACTTTTACATTAAAATCTGGCCGCATCAGCCCTTACTTTTTCAATGCAGGATTATTTAACACTGGCTCAGCTCTCTCTTCCCTTGGCCGTTTCTACGCATCAGCCATTCAAGATTCTGGGATAGCATTCGATGTTATCTTTGGCCCTGCATACAAAGGCATTCCGCTAGTATCTTCAACTGCAATCGCTTTATCTACCGAGCACAATCTTGACGTTCCATATTCGTTCAATCGAAAAGAGGCAAAAGACCATGGTGAAGGTGGTAATATCGTCGGTTCACCTTTGAACGGAAAAATCCTGATAATTGATGACGTTATTACTGCCGGTACGGCAATACGAGAGAGTCTAGCGATAATCAGAGCCAATAATGCTCAATTGGTGGGCGTCGTTGTTGCCGTTGATAGACAAGAAAAGGGAATCGGGGAGAAATCGGCCATACGAGAACTTGAAATGCAGTATAACATCAAGGTTATATCGATTGTGGCTCTGGAAGACATTATTAACTATATAAGAGAACAAGGTGGTGATGATGAACATCTAAAAGATATGGAAGAATATAGACTGAAATATGGCGCTAAAGAGTAAGCGAGACGCAAATGTAACTAGTGCAAGCAACTAATAAAGTTTGTAGACATTTGATCATTGACGTGATAAAGCAAACTTCTAATTGAAGGAAGGTTAGTGTCTGCAGACAATATCAAGCGCAAACGGCGAACGAGAAATTAGTTTGTAGATGTTGAATTGATAATATAAATACAATATAACCGTTATTTATTGGTTTTTGTTCTAGCAATATAAAATACGGACACAACTGAATTTTCAATTTCTTTGAATGAACAAACGAGATGTTTGCATCAACTTTTTTGGTGGTCGATGGCTTGATGTTTGTATAGTATTGAAAGAATTTAGTTCAGCGCAGCAAAAATTATCAAGTCACGAGATACTAAAAATTATACGCCAACATATATTATTTCACTAAATGGTGACACAAACGCGAAAAAATGTTCGTTGAACATACACACGCAAATAGTTGTTATAAAATCTTTTATTGCAACGATGTCGTTTTCTATTCATAATAAATAAATTGGATCCTCAAAACATGTCTATATCTTCGTGTCTTCCAACTTCACGTAATCTTTAGCTCTTTGGCATCCCATCCTCGTTCAACAACCCATCCTCTATAACTCTCGGTCCATCGCCAACTGTCGTCCTTATGAGTTGCTTGACACTTCCCTCTTCAAAAATCGGTACAGCGTCTGCTCTAAACCCGCTTGGTATCTGTTCTCTTTCCTCACCCATGAAATACCTCTTGATCAATCCAACAAGCTCATCTGCGTTCTCCCGTAACGTATAAATGACTGCATTCGGACCGGCGTCGAACGTGTATGCTGCCTTGTAATTACATGAAGTCGAATTATATTCCTCGACTAGTCTAATAATAGCCCGAGAGATATCATTAAGATAAAAAATCGGAGGAAAAGAATCGAGACATACTGCATGAAATTGATTGGAATCTCTCATAGTTAATTCAGCAAACGCGTCAAAGTCTTTGTCCTTGATCGCTTTAACCATTTCTTCCATTCTTTTCGGAACAACACACTCGATCCTCTCTTTCAACAACGACGAAGTTTTAACAGTGACCTGCATTCCTACAGTACTCCCAATCGCTTTTTTAGCATCGCTCACAACACAAATCAACGCAATCAACTCTGGCCAATGATGCTCATCGGCAATCTGCACTGCCATGCTATCCGATCCATCATTATTAACACCCATCTCCCATGCGACAAAGCCGCCGAACAGTGACCTGCACGCCGATCCCGATCCTTGACGAGCGATAATAGATAATTCCGATAAGGAGTTGGGAAGCGAATATAACTGAGCGAGAGTATAGACAAAGCATGCAAATCCACTAGCAGACGAAGCCAAACCAGCCGCCGTTGGAAAGTTATTCTCAGAGCAGATATGTAAATTGTATTCTGATAATGGGACAACCTCAGAATTACCATCACGCAAAAGTTGTTGCTCGTAGAGTGAACGTAGCCGGCGAGCTTCTTTAATGCATGTTTGTATTCGCTTGCTTGCCGAAACGTCTTCTTCCACACCGTTCAGCCAAAGGCGAGTTTTGGAAAATGAGGGATCGGCACGAATTGTAGTTTTGCTTTGGAGATTGTCTTGAGAAAGAGTTACACTGAGGGAACTGTTTGTTGGAAGGTTGAGAGAAACGTCACGTTTACCCCAGTATTTTATTACTGCAATGTTTACAGGAGCTGTACATGTTTTTTCATAGTAATCGGGCATGTTTTTAAAGAGGAACGAACGCAGAAAAGTGGAATGGTGGAGAAATGTGGTGGAAGACACAGAGAATGGTCTCCCTTTTTTAGATCATTCCGGATCCACGAAAAAAAAAAAGCGGGCTCCTTGAAAATTTAGTTTTTACATGCCCAATCCCGATCCTTTGGGTCAATTAAGCATGATTAAGTTGCATTACTTATACTGTAAATTTTACTTGGCCATGTCCAAGCCACAGGTCAAATTATCCGTTCTTGATGGCTTCCACAAACGCAAACAAGGTAACTTACTAATATTCGGGTTTGGGTTTGGAGTCTAAATAGCTGAAATCACTAGCTGATCATAATCATGGCAGTATGATGTGAGTCGACATATTAGCGTGAATAGTTTACTCGATAAATTCATGTCAATCATACGACTCACATTTTTTACTTTGGTTTTCTTCTGTATTGCGATTTCCCCCCAATACCATTCAATGTCTCCGTCTATGCTTACCAGCAGCCCAGCTCCATACTTTACGTTGGGCCAGTCACTAGTCTGAAATTCCATAATAGTAAAATTCTCCTCGCCGGACACGGACCATTGCTCAAAGTATTTTACATTCCGAGTGGAGAACTTTTAAACGTTGTCGTCGGATTAGAATGTTTGAGAATAAGAGGAATTGTTCACGGTAAGGGAAATAGAGGAGTCTAGGTGAGAGAAAAAGGAAGCAAGGCAGGTTGATGGTTTGAAAAAGATATACATATGGCTACTTGAAAATTCGAATTCGTGATTACTCATATAACATGTGTTATGTCAACTATTGTTTTATTTATAGTCAATCAGGCAAAGGATACCCAAGAAATACAGCAACGGAAAATTCCAACAAGTGATAATTGTGTTTATGTGATCTATGGAGGAAAGACAGTTCGCGTTTTGGAGATGAGTCTCAGTTATGACGAGTATGTAATCTATAATTCAAAGATTCACGATTTCATGGGTTTTCTGTACTAAGATATTTTTCTGTTTGTACACTAAAAATGCGTGAAGCATACCGAAACCAAAATGTAAAATTACATTTATAACTCCTCCCATTAACTTACGTGATTGGATACTCGACATTAACTGGGTGTATGGCCGCGAAGGAGAATCCGTAAACCACGAGTCTGCGTTCTCAGAACCTCATCTCTGTGTCGCCTACGCCCACAATGTTGTCGATCGATTCACTTACCTTTTCCGTGCTGTCGTGAATGCGGTTACTTGTCCATCTCAATGCATTCTGTATTCGGCGCGATTTTACGGACATTCCTGGGAAAAGTTGCTATTAGCAGCTGGTACGGTGTTTAATGAAGTGCATTTGTGGAGTGTTAAAGATGGTGTTGTTTTGAAGAAATTTGTCGGGCATGAGGTATGGCTCAGGGAGGAGATAGAGGAGGCTGTGGATTGATGTTGGGGAAACGTTTAAGTTTATCATGAACACGTTCTTTTATACTGATTTCTGGCGTTCGTGGAAAGGGCGTTATCTTTAATGTACGGTTTAGTTTTGATGGATCTATTCTCGCATCTGTTTCCGATGATCGTACGATACGTGTCTGGAAGACCGACGTTAATGACAAGTGCGCTATGGCTTGGATTTGTAATCTTGAAACTATGGCATATCTTTCTGTTGCGTTCGTTTCTCAATCAAGGACCTGTCTTTTTATTCTAGGACCAAACCAATAACTTTATACGGTCACATGGCACGGATATGGGATTGCCAGATAGTGGGTAACTATCTCGTTAGTATTTCTGAGGTTTGTATTTAAATGAATTATCCAATAATTATGTAATTCCTTTATCACGCTTCAACTGCTATCTATCGTTTATTCGATCTTCATATTGATCAAAAATTTTATACATAAATCAGGATTCAACGTGTCGCGTGTGGCAAAATCCAGTTAACGTTCGCGATACTGAAGATACACTTGACATTGATTGTCTTGCGTGCTGGGAGGGACATGTTGGGAAAAATGTATGGAGCTTGAGTATCTGTGAGGAAAAAGGAATTGTTGTAAGTATATAAAACGGAGGGAAAGGGAACGTTGAACGAAATAAAGTTTGATATATTGTGTAATTAATTAGCCCAGATCTTATGTAGGCAACGGGTGGCCAAGATTCGGGAATCAGGCTATGGTCATTATTAGATGTTAGCAGTAATAAGATTGGTGGGTTTAACGAATTAAATTCATTTAGACTTGCCTCTGGGCAACTTTGATTAAATTCAAGGTCAATTTTTTGCTTTATATTCTACTTTCGTATTATCAGAGACTGACATTCTTTTCCATCATACAAAGACTCTGAAGCAGATCTCATACATGCCCCGCTTCCACCGCTGGAAACGTACCACAAGCTACAGGTTAGCCTTACATTTTGGACGGACAAGTTATAACCCGTTATACGGTTTTATCTAAGAATAGAATGTATTTCTCCTTTGGCTTGTGTGATTGGCTTTTTTGTAGGTAGATTGTGTAAAGCCCCAAAAATCAGAAACCAAGGAATATGTGCGGAACTGCGCAATCGTCAGCATGGACGAAATTGTTGTCGGAACTAATTTGGGGTAAACGACGACTTGTCTTTCTGTATAGGACATATATATCCTTCATGGTATATGGAGCGTTGTTAAAGTTTGACGTGATAATCCTGACGTCTGACTTCTTATTTATTTTTGTTGTAGCCACATTCTTCTTCACAATCATCAAACGCATACATGGACGCCGATATTTTATTCCACAGAACTATCGAATTACAATATGATGACAGCATCAAAGTGCGGACGAATTGTGTGTTGCGGAGGTATTAATGGACAAGTGTTCATCCTGAGCGTACGACATGTCTTTGAGGTATGTTTGTGAAAGAAAAAAAGGATGGCTAGTGATAAATTCTCATTCGATTGGTCTTGGACGTAAGTCATTGTCAGTAACAAACATGACCATTTTTTGCTTATCGATTCCAACAACTGTTTTGTCTTTTGGTCACTTTTCGTATCAGACTGCTTTACTTATCCTATTTTTACTTTTACGCTCTTTAGCCAATTAAGTTAAATCTTCATCCACACAAAGTGTTTGAATTGTTCATCTTGGACACGAATGGTTTGTTTGCGCAATCAGTCGATCGTTCAAGTGTTCTACGAATCATATACTGACTTGACAGGAATATTAATAGTTACAGACACGCTATATATAATATCTCATGCTGTACATAATGACATTTATGTGCTGGAATTAGATTTGAAATGTGAAAAGGTAAGATATACGAAGTGATGAAAGGTCTTTGAGTTGGAGGTTAAATTCAATGGTGCTTGTATTAAAAAGTTTCGTGTCGACACATGCATAATTTCTATATGACATCTTACATTTTTCTTTATCAACGATAGTCACCCGTCAGACCGCTCTTCAAACTAGCTGTTCCTCCTCGCTTTCTCTTAATGTCCACAGCGTACTCATTTCAATATGGACTACTATTTTGCGGATCACGGGAAGGTGGATTGGGTATTTATCAGTTACCCTCTCCCAAAGGATATGAAGAAGTAAAGGAAGTAGGGGATGATAACCGAATGAATGACGAAAGTTTACGGAATAATGACGAATGTTTGGCAGATACGATGCAATCTTCAACACAAATACCTACTTTGTACCTTATATTATATAAATCTAAAACGCATCGTCGACAAGCTTTGACATCCATAGCATTAGAATATCCCCTTGTCGCAGTTGATAACAACACCACAGATGATGCGAATGACTTTATTTTTATATATACTACTGGTCGTGACGGTGAATACATCAAGTACCGGTTGAAAGGAGTGGGGGCATTGAGAAAGCAACATTTATATACAAGGGATGTTGAAAATATCAAGGATGAGAAGGAAGTTGTTTACGAAAATGCGTTTGGAGAAAATAGCAGAGAAAGGTGCAAAGAAAAAGACGGTAGCGGAGAGCGTGATTATGTGAAAGGAACCGAGAAGAATTTACAAGTCGGTAAAACAAGGTCATGGAAAGGAAAAGGCGAATCAGATAGTTGTCTGCAATTAGAAGAAGTCTACCGCGCCAAAATTACCAAAGGTTGGCTTGAACAGGTGTGAATTTTTTGTATGAATAACTGTTCGATATTACCGATTGTTTTTTGCATCATTATTCATTACTTTCAATGACCCATAATCGACACTAAAAAGCATTCTGCACGCATTCTCACATTCCAAACAATAGGCTGTTCTTTTTGAAAACACGCTTTTCCTCCTCGGATTCTATCGTAAACGCTTTTTTGTGTTCAATCAATCTAAATCCTACGATATCTTTAGTGTAGCATGCGGAGGTGCACACCGAGTATGGCACTTTTCAGCTGCTGATGTGAAGCTAGACAGCGCTACCTTTTTGTTTATCAGAAAAGAGAAGGTTTGTTTTGGCGGAGATGGCATGTAGTTGAACAGAGATGATGGCAATGTTAAGTCTTGTGGGAAATGCAAAACACCATAATCTTACATGCATACATGATATTGTTTGTTTCTTTCGTTATTTTCCTGGGATTAGGTCTATATATACTCCAGGACAGGAAGCTTAAAGAATGACGCATTTACGGAATGTAAATTAGGAGATGATTTTCATGGACGAGAGACACGGAGTGTTTCGTTTTGCCGTAAGTTGAATTTGAGGTGAATTCTTGGCCGAGTATCACGTCATTATCCACTCTAGCCTACCTCACACGAATTGTTGCATTTTGTAGGATATCCTATTGCGGTTGACAACTATTATCCTTTGATATTTGCTACTGGAGCCGAAGATTCCTTGCTGAGGTTATTTCAATGTATGGGAACGATAACTTGGGAAACAATATTGATAATTCGGCGGATACTAGTGAGACATGGATACAAATTATATGACGAAACGATAATTGAAGCCATCGTCGTTGCATAATCGGAGCATTGTTGTAATGACAATTCGTTTATGTAGATATTCCTGGGAACATGCAGAATAGTCTCAGAAGTCTTTGTTGTATCAAGAAACATACTTCTGTTATTAGGAGTATCCAATGGAGTAAGGGTAAGTGCAAATTTGAAGTCTGATCTCGCGATGTGAACATACGTATTTACTGCTTGCTGTTTGTGCGACTATTACGACGTTTACTTGCTAACTCGTTTAATTTTAGGCAAAGAACTTTTGCTGTTCACCAGTGGAGCGAGTGAAGAGCTACGCTGTTGGAAAATAGAATTGACACTGCCTCGTGATCGTATAGTCCGTGAAGGTTCTCCACTTGTTGATGTGAATTGCCTCGAATGGGGGTGTTGTCCAAGTATCAGGTTGGGATTTACGCGCGTATATCTGGCTTCCCATAAGCGAATTTGTTTTTCACTAATCTTTATCCTTTTTTGCAAGTGACATTCCCGAGATGCGTATAATGTCTACTTCTGTCCATTCAATCGACAATATTGACGGAACACATGTTATTGTGTCAGGATATTCCGATTCTATACTCAGAGTAGGTAACCAGACGCTAGCATTGATGTTTTGAAAATTACTAGATATGATTTTTACTTAACAAACCTTATTTAGGTATGGTTATTTACAGAAAAAACGCGCTCTTTTACACTTGTCGCAATCGGACAATTTCATGATAATTGTATATTAAAAGTGAAAGGTCTTGTAATGAAAGGTAAAAATTAAATTCCCATTATTTATATTTTATGAGTACTAAATGAGTAGCTATTGTTTTTTCTTTTAGACAAATTCGCTGTGTTAACTTCAGCAACGGATGGACGGTAAGACGCATTAATGATATGAGTGCAATATTGAGCAATGACAACACCAAATTCTGACCGGTCGAATTGGATTAAATTAGCATTGCAGTATGGGACATATCTGACGTAATTAATAGGTATGCGACTAAAAACATTCAGAAGCCTAAATTTTGTTGATTACCCACATCCTCGCCAGCATACTAATTTTAATCTAATCACAATATCGACAAATTTGAAAGACATTCTTCCAGCGCATTTTCATCCGCGCCCTCTTCCCTTCACCAACCTCATGTCCTTAACCCACCACTATTTACATCAGTTCTACACCAATCAGGTGTTAATGTATTCGACATTGTTCATGTGAACGGATATAGATACCTGCTTGCATCAGGTGGAGATGACAATGCGATTGTGGTGAAGGAAATAGAAATTAGAATTAACGAGGGGATCTTGAAAGTCAGGAATTGGGCGAGAGGAGAGTTGTTTGAAAAGGGACATTTAAACAGAGAAGGATTAATAGAAAGAACAGAGGAATGCGTAGTAAGGGTCGAGAATGCGCATGCGTCTAGCATTCAGGGTAGGTTGATTATTGAATACAATATAATAATGCTATCCATTCCTCTCCCTTTTCCAATAACCAATATGTAAATATCCATTTATTATTCGTTACAAGGTTTAAAATTTCTCAACGCTTCAACGTTTGTCTCGGTTTCTCTTGATCAAAGACTGAACGTCTGGAATATCAAACTCGAAGACAATCCATCATGTAAAGATGACATGAAGGTGAAGCTAAAAGCATCCACGTTTGTCGATGTTTGTGATCCCGCTTGTTTAGATATGACATTATGGTAAGTAGAGCAGCAAATTTGAACGTCTTGCAGAATTTGGAGAGGCATAATTGTAGAAATGCCACTCAAATATTCTGATTTGTTTAGGAATGAAGAAGCAATGAATGAAGGCCATAGTAAAGAATTTAATTGCGATCGAGAATACGAGAGCAACCCCGTGATGCATGCAATGGTGGGTGTTGCTGGAATCGGATTCCAACTCTTCAGGATTTAAGTCTGTCATAGAAAGAGCAAAAGTACATGTCAAATCTCGCTACCTGTCCAATTCAGTTTATGACGTTTCCAATTATGGATACAACAATGCATAATCTAAATAAATGCGGATAACGCAATTCTGATCGTCCGCATTAAATACTTTATTGGTATTGTGTTGAGGCACTGTTTTTTTCATGCCTATGTAAAAAGTATTCAGGGGGTCAGATTATCAAATTTGTCCTACACTTTGAACCAATAATAATACCCGCCAACAATATTTGTGTGACCGCGAAAAGAAACTATTAGCATTAGGTGGGAGTTCTTCATTTATTATTAGCACGTGTTTAAGCATTCTAATCGGCGTATGAAATTGGTTGTAAATTCATCATATTACAACGAACGTTCTTTTTCCCCCCTGGTCCTACAACAGTTCAAGCGGTTTGACCGCACAGATTGAATTCTAAGTTTAGCAAACTATTTAACACGAGACATCCTGAGAAAATTGACAAACATTTATAATTAAAAGACAATGCAAAGCAGTATGATTTGCTTTCTTTGGAAACTTTCTAAACTGTCGCAATCTGAAAATTACCCTCAGTACATTACATATTTTTTAATTTTAAAAAAGAAAAAGCCAGAGTCGAAATGGGTAAGTTAAAAATAATACGAACAGACCTTTTATTTAATTAATATATTAATATAAATCAGATTTGCTCACAGGCCTTTTATTTAATTACAAATTAGATTTGCTAACTATTGATAGTGAAAATTTAAATGTTGGCAAGAGACTAGTTTGTGACTGCGAACACATTCTATCACAAAGTCAATTAAACGCGTCAATACGGTTTTGGTAGGACAGGCTTGTAGTACAGACCCTCCCCCGAAATACTCTGTGTCGCCACTATATCACATCGATTAAGATCGCCAAGGGAATGTAAAATGACTTCGCTTAATCTAGTTTAATCGCACCCAAGGTGGATTAACTAACCAGTATACTAACTATCTCACTGTCTCCTGATTATGATTCCGGACATTGATTTTAGAATCGTAACTGAAGAAAATGATAATGGGGAACAGGCCTACCGCTGCTCCAAATGTAAAGCTGATATGCAAAACAGATATTATCTATGCCAACACTGTTTTACGGAAATTGCTGAGACCGCAGCGACTACTTGGACAACTGAGAGACCCAATATCGATGCATTTATTCTCGGTTCACAAAAAGATGCCGACCAAGTTCATCAGTTTATTGAATGGATTCCATTCGACAATTTCGCAAATGTCGAGCACGTAGCCGACGGGGGTTTTGCCAAAGTCTATAAAGCTTCTTGGAAACAAGGATGCTGGGAATGTGTAACAGAGGACGATGATAACTCCACAAGACATTTCAAGCGTAGAGGAGCTATGGAAGTTGCTCTAAAAGAGCAGAAAAATTCCACAACACTTTCGGACGAGTATTTAAAGGAGGCGAGTATAAAACTTTTCTCTTTAAACGACAAACATCAGTATTACGTTTTATTAATCTCAATATTTCGAAACAGGTCAAAGCTTATCTAAAGTGTGAATACAGATTTTTACGTGACAATCGATTATATGGAATTTCAGTGAACCCCGAAACGAGTCGTATAATATTGGTGATGCGATACATGTCAGGCGGTGACTTGAAACAACTTTTGATAAAGAATCCTGCAGAGCTTACATGGAGCGAAAGAATAGAACAGCTGTCTACATTGATGAGAGATTTACAAACTATTCATAGAGCAGGCTTTATCCATAAAGATTTTCACAGCGGAAATGTGCTGTGGACTCACGATAACTATCAGAACTATGAACTGTGCATTTCTGATTTAGGCTTATCCGGTCCCGCCAATGATAAAGATGATACAGTTACTGGAGTTGTCCCGTATATGGCACCAGAAGTACTCCTAGGTCAACCAAAGTCAACAGCATCTGACATTTATGCTTTTGGTATAGTCATGTGGGAATTTTCTTCGGGAAAACCAGCCTTTTTCGAATACAAAGATGATGATTTATCAGCCTTTAAGCAGAGAATTATTAAAGATAATTTGAGACCTGAACCCGTAGATGGCACCCCGGATTGCTATGTGAATCTGATGCGACACTGCTGGAAAGCTAATCCCGAAGATAGACCGACAGCTGAAGAAGTATTGTATACATTATTAGCATTCATAGAGATGAATGACAAGACTTTGCTTACTTTTAACGATACGGTCTTTGAGCAATTCGAATCGGCAGAGGATTTAAGAATTAAAAGAGGACCGGGTCCAGATGAAAGATTTTACCATGAGAGATACACTAGCGGAATTATAATAACCGGTGAATTTGTCCGGACAGTGCCCGAGTTGCTATAATAATGTTACGCATTGTTGACCCGAAGCATTCTTACAGGAAGGACGTGGGAAGTTGGACTGCAGCAAATCAAGTACAGAGTTCATACGATTCATTCTCCTCAATGTCTTAGTTTTCCTTATACATTAAATTGCTTGGCTGCCGGTTACGTATGGGTCTTGTCATTTTTGATGGGAAAATCCTTTACTTGTCCACTTTTTCATTATTAACTATTAGCCACTTACCTAATTTCCGATCCATTTAATGATTCGAGATATTTTATTATTACTGTGAAGTCTGTTCAACGCTGAATTAGACTTGCAAGTTTTATTAAACAGACTAACTTACAATCTAATAGTTGATGTTTCTGTCAGTTTCACTTCTTACATAGACATCCCTTGAATTATTACTATATTGACGTGCATAGGCTATATGCTGTGTACATGGTCTAGCCGCATAAGACATAGTTGTATTAACAACTGAGCCATATAACTTGGGCGAGCGGTTGGTTTTAGAAATTCTACTGGAGGACACAACAAACAACATATTGTCAAGGTGATGAAATATTCCATTTATATGCTGTTTCTACTGATTATATTGTCTAAAAATTACCGCATCTGTCTTTTTTACCCGCTCATTCTTTTCATTGATTAATAGAAGTGGGGAAATATTCATACGTTCTAGTTCATTTGTCAAATTTTATGTAAAGGGAATGTGGAACGACTTGGATGTTTGCAGAACATGTTGTTGCTGCGCCTTATAGAAAGTATTTGATTCATGATTGTATATATTTGAAATTACAATTAGTTCATGACTAGGTTATTTGATGCAATGGGACAGGGCCTGCTCTCGAGCTCATGAATCATGCATTATTGTTATAAAAGTAAATAAATAGACTCAGATTCAAAATCATATACCTACGATTAACAATTATTGTTGTAACTGTTAGAGGTAATGTTAAATTCGGCCTTTCTAAGTGACAGATGGTTGCAAATAACTGGTGCCTGCAGCAGTAGCAACATCCAAGATCAATGTTATACATTTTCGCACGTTGTTTCTGACATTAATAATTACTACGTGTTACCCTCATTACATATGACTGGAGGATGGAAACCAAGTTTGTTACATGTCCCGTGTTTATTGTTGTAGTGATATATGGTATTAAGACAGAATGCCTAAAAGCACCCACCCAACGGCAAGTAAGCAAAGTTCATACAGCATGATCGAGAAATTATTTTTTTCCAACGTGATATATTGGTCCACATCACCACCGGCGACTTTATTCTAAAAATATATTAATAAATGAAATATTACAAAGTCGTTCTAATGTGCTCCACTGATTGTGACATTGCTACTCGTCCACAGAAAAGCATTATCGAGAACACAAACCTCTTAAGTCGCCCCTATACATCGTCTTTTTCAGCTAGTGGGTTTGCATGTATTGTCACTGATTTTATTCGTATTTCTTGTATTGGACGGTTTTTTTCGTCTACAGGGACTTTTTCGATCGCGTCCAACGTCGAATCAGCGCCATCTATCACTCTGTAGTAAATTTATTAACTATTGTCAGCAATATGTTTACACGTCCACAACCATTAACGATTCATACTAGGTATTACTTACTTTCCAAAAACCGTATATTTGGTATCTAAATGAGGCAACTTGGCATAAGTTATAAAGAACTGCGACCCGTTTGTATCGGGACCGCTATTAGCCATGGATACTATCCCTCTAACGTTGTGCTGGAAAAAGGATGAAATTGTTTTGCTCAACATAAATTAATCGCACTAAAATCCACATTACTGGACGACAATTAAATTGATAAACAACCTATACGATTGCAATCCTTTAATCCAACTCTAATCGCACCCATCGCCATCCATAACTCACTGCCAACCTTAAGAGATGACTTGATCTCATCGGGAAATCTCCTTCCCCAAATAGAGTTTCCGCCTCTCCCTGTTCCTGTGGGATCCCCCGTCTAGGAAATATTCATGTATACCAATCGTCGATTAACACGTTTTGCCGCTGAAGAAATAAAACAATGATTTGTTAAGAGAATGCGATAACGTACCTGGACTATAAAGCCTTTTATGTTTCTGACGTTTGAGTTGAAACATACGCGTTATGTGAACACGCTAAATACAAGCCAAACCTATCAGAATGCAATTGCCAATAACACATACCTATGAAATAGATTATTATCGTAATATCCACTGGCACATAGTGCAAGAAAATTCTGTCAAACAAGGTTAGTATGTTTGCATTCCTTAAAACTGTATAATGATTACTGCATGACCCGGCAAACTACCTCGGCCGTCTTTGGAACAGCTTCGCAAAATACTTCTATTTTGAGATCACCAAGATCGGTGTGTAATGTTACAGACTGTGGGTTTAATAAATTGTAAGAGGCAATGAACAAAGTCTAATGCCCGTCGAAAATAGGACAATCTGCCAATCATAGTTACCATTATTCTAGAGATTAAAATTCGAGGATTTTGAAATTGTTTTGTGGGCATACTAATTTATGTTGTACAGAATGTCACATGACAGTTACGATTAAAGCTGTATCCGATCAGTTCGAAGAAGCTCTAATGGATTCTTGGCTTGGACATTATCTGCGTGAGACACTATCTCTTGACCTTGATGATACGATCATCGAATATTATGCAGGTTTTCTTGGTGATAAAGAAATATCTGATGAAGAAAAGACAGATATATTATGTGCCGCTTTCCGTGATAGTAACAGCCGTGCACTCTCGGTAAGCAAATGAAACTTGCTTTATTTTTAAATAGTGACAGCATGTGATTAGATTAATATTCTTAAGATCATATCGCTTACATGCAAACAATTATGTTTTTAACTATCACAATATTTGATTCTCCCAATATTGCGTTAGTTGTGCTAGTCAGAAGCAGCAATTGAGCGTGCAGTTCAGGAAATATTAACTAATTATCGTGATCCTGACCATGGCACGTCTACAGACACTGCTACGTCAAGTTCAAAGTCGACGACAACGTCAACGACTACCACATCAACGCTCACATCAGCGACAACCTCAGCGACAACCTCAGCGACATCAACGACTACATTCCAGTTTAACCCATTTGCAAAGGACTTTGTCCCCAATGCGGCGACAACCATAAATTATCAGGACGACGACAGCAAAGCCGAACAAGAGAAACAAGGAGATTATAGTGACGAGGATTTCATACCAGATGACCAATGGATTGAGCAAACACTTGAAGATGAAGAGAATCTATTATGTGATGATAGAACACCTATGATGCTATTAATGCAGGTATTCTCGGATGTTGAGTATGAGGAACTGCTGAAAACTTTTGAACAAGAGAATTACAATCTGGAAAATACTATTGTTGTACTTTTGAATCGCAAAGAAAAGCGCCAGCAGCAGCAGCAGCAGCAGCAACAGCAACAACAACAGCAGCAACAGCAACCATCACGTGTCAAACCTCAGATATGCCGTTATTTTTTAGAAGGCAGCTGTTTTCGAAAAGACTGTTGGTATTCCCATGATCTTGACAACCGCGTATGCAAGTTTTGGTAAGGGCCAGTTATAAACAGAAAACTAATGACAAAGTATCACGTTCTGAATGAGCAAAATCGTCGTGTTTAATGTGTGAATACTTGTTATTCGTCTTCTTAACCATTGCACCTAAAGGGTCCGTGGCAATTGTATTGCAGGCGACAGTTGCCTGTTTCTCCACACTGTCAACACATCACAGATTCAGAATGTGCTACAAAATACCACCACAGCCGGACCGGTAACCACCACCCTGGACGCATCAGATAATGAGCTGTTTCCGTCTCTCGATCAACTCAACTTGACGCCTACGCAGAAAAACAACAGTACCGTGTTGGACGCTACCTCGTCACGGATTCCAGACTCGCCCTCTCGTGCTATATTCGTACGCCCCCCTTCTCCCACAGCCTCCAAGGCCAACAGTTCATCTAATTTTGCTCTTATTGCAAAGCATGGCAGTCTGGTGGAAGCGTTTCCTTGGATTGATGAGAAGACGATATCTTCATATTTACGCTTTTACAACAACGACGCCGATGCTGTTTCTGCAATACTAAAGAAGACATACCCTAGGCCACCGGACTTTGTATCAAAGGACACGGTGAATAATAACAAAACGTCAATAACAGGGAAGAACAGGAAAGAAAGAAAGAAATTTGTAGTGAAACCACTAGATAACATTCCGTGGCTGGTTGCTGGGAATGCATTGAGTAAGGAGTATAAAAAGTATCGGGAGCAAGCTATACAGGCGGGGAAGCAGAGGAATGTTGTAAGTTTGGGGGCGGGAAAGGGGGAGAGGGAATACAATACAATACAATATTGACTTGGGCTGACATAATAGAACATTGCATTGGTTCGTGCTGTTATTTGGTTTTGTTTAATCGATACGAAATACTTGTTTGCCTAGTTATACGAAGCCGCCACAAAGGCTTACAAGGCGAATCGAGGAGATTTGGCAAAGAAATATTCGCTTGAAGCACAAAAGTATAACGAGTTAATGCGGGAACTACATCGCGAGGTAATGTTTGTGATTTGATACACCGTTTTGGACTACACATATCTTTCGCCTTACCAGTTTGTGCGACAATTACCTTGGGCCACCATTTAGGCATCTCGGAAAATATTCGAAGCGCGTAACAGTAGTTACTATGGCAAAGAACCATTTATAGATTTACATGGCCAGCATGTGGACGAGGCAATTTCTTACCTCAAGGTGAGTCATTTCTCAAACCGTGCAATTGACGCGTTCACTTGTACGTTTTCCTTTCTCACACTCTCGTTCCCACCAGGAATCTATCGATACTCTCAAGAAAGAGAATTACAATGGGAGCGTTATCTACATAGTTACTGGTACAGGGCATCATTCTCAAGATAGACCCAAGATAGGTCCTGCGGTCAAATCTTGGCTCGATGAGCATGAATATGAATATTGTGAATGTTCTATCGATAAGCGTTATGGAGGAATGATTGCTGTTAATTTCCGATGAGGTATGAGGATGACGGCGTTGAGATGGAACAGATGGTGCGGTATTAATACAAGACTTCAAATAACGAATAAACGCATAACGTATTGTGAATAAGGAGGTTATTAAGCAAGCAAGCAAGTATATGCGCAGTGGTCAATACTGGACTCTGTAAATGCTCGTTTCGTCGATTGTACGCCAGATGTCTTTAGCGCCATAAAATGTAACATCATGTGTTGAAATCACTCGTATCACGTGAGAATAATTAGCCATCATACTAGTATTGTCAATATAAACCCGCTAAAATTTACAATTCATATGATTCATCAATGACAGAGACTACATAAATAATAAAGGCCGAATCTCGAGAATTCAAAAAGATATCGTCTCAACAATGTTACAGTCTTATAGCAGCAAAGCAGATCTCTCTTTAACAACTGGCAATAGCTCAGCCCTACCATCTCTCAACTCCCTTATTGAGTTCTGGTCAGGCACATCAAGTCCTTTTTGCACGGCTGGTCTCGCTTCTATGCGAGCTACCCAATTCTTGACATTAGGATATTCGTCTAGAATGGAGACCGATGTGGGTGAAAATGTTCAGCGATACTAATAGCCACACGATATACGGTATCTCGTGTTGCCCACATTAAAAAGACATTGTACTTACCAAGATTGAGGTTGATGGAGATTGCACTGTAAGCCCACGTAAAATTAATAATATCAGCAAGTGTCAGTGAATCTCCCACAAGGAATTCTCTGTCCTTTAACCTGTTTTCGAGCACCTGTTTAATTAAAACATTGTCAATAACAAACTAACGTTGATGTATCCCACGTCAGCAAAGGAGGAGGGGGGGGAGGGGGGAAACTTACACTATACAATCTTCGAGTTTCCTTAACGTATCGACTAATGCTATACTGAAATGCTTCTGGGGCCCACTTTAGGAAATGAGATGCTTGAAGTTGCATTGGACCCAAACCACCGATTTGGAACATAATCTACAAAAAAAGAGACATGTCAGTTGATCAATACAAATACGCTCATCACATTCCACAATGCCTTACCCATTGAATAGTCTCACTACGCAGATCAGGATCCTTGGGTAAAAGTTTACCTTCCGGATCATAATGCTCGCATAGATACAGCATGATAGCACCGCTTTCAAACACTTTAAAGTCACCACGCGAGTGATCGACTATGGCTGGTATCCTAATTAATAATAAAAAAAGTAAACACATAGTTCTTTCGTGGTGTTTCTCGACAGATATCATCCGTATGATACTTACGCGCCATTGGGATTGATTTTCAAGAACCATTCTTGTTTGTGTTCCCCCGATGACAATGCGACCTTGCGTACTTTGTAAGGAATTTCTAATTCTTCTAAAGTGATGCTGATTTTATGGCCCTACCAACAGTTGAAAACGTTATGTTAGACTACAATCACGTACCAATGTCCAGTAATTCGTGACCAAAATTCAAACATTACGTACATTTGGTGTGGAAAAGGTATACAAAGTGATATCGGGAGTAGCAGACATGTTGTGACTGTACAAAGAGTCAAATTGCTTGTTCTTTTTATAAGGATATGACGCTGGGAAACTTTAGCCTTAGCCGATAATCTGCTAACTTAATACTGATTAGGAATATCAAATCAAATTCTCGTTAAGCCAATCGGAGAAATTGATCGTCGTCAGTTATTTAACTTGGCACGGAAAAATTTCGGGCCAGTTTATAGTTTTTTTTTTCTTCTCAGACTTATTCACTATTTAGGTTTTCCGTCTCGCAATGAACTGTACTTGTTTGCAAAAATGAGACTGAGAGTACGCTATCGGGATCAGAATCAAGTGATAAACAATCTTGATGAAACGTCAACCGTTGGAGAGTTGAAGAAGGTCATCCATAACGAGTTTGGTATTAGTCAGCGTGAACAGGAATGTAGGTAGAGAAAACAAGTACACAACTTGCATGTGTGAGACATTAGACACACAAAAGCAGCAATAGCAACAAAAAGGTATATATATCGTGTATTGTTGATCCTACATTTATCTAACTTGATCACATGATTGAATTAGTAAAATGCGGGTATCCGCCACGCATATCCACAGCATCAGATGAATCTAGTCTCGAATCTGCCGGAATAAGAAATGGCGAAACAATCATAGTCGACAAATTAGAACTTCCTCCCGAACCGGTTCTGACTCCTGTCGTAGAAGCGACCGTAATCGAACCGCTTCCGGATATTTCCGCTCAAACAACATCACGTGTATTTCAAGCTACATCTGTGCCCGAAGCAAAAGTCAAGGGTGATTTAATAACCGTGCAAACTCGTAATGGTTACGCAATGTTGCGGGTATGTGTTTATCGAAACGGAGGTGTCCTGCAAACCGTAGAGGAATCAGTCAAGTGATTGATTACACTTTTTTTTTATTTAGGAAATGGAAGATGATAATTCTTGTTTGTTTCGTGCAATTGGTAAGATGTACATTTGGAGGGGGGGAAAAAGGGTGGTTTCGATTGCGCAAATTGTCTGCGTGTCATGTGGTCATTGTTTACTAAATCGTCCGATACCAATCGTTTTCAATAGGGTAAATTACGACGACAACAACAACAACAAAAAACTCTTTTTCAATCTTTTTGTTTTTACGTCATTAAAGCATGTAATAATTTTTTGCGGTCGACAGTTACGTCTTGGATCGACCAATTGATGTTGGTAAACTTCGACAGAGTAAGCGTGTTTTCTAACAGAGAGGAGGGGGGAAGGTGGGAACTATGTGTGATTTTGATTTTTTCTCATACACGTTTCGATTTCCTGAAATTTTTTCATCTGTTTGTTCAAGTTATTGTCAAGAAAGTGCAAAGCGATCCAGTGACATATAACGATGCGTTTCTTGGCATGTCGAATGACGAGTATTGTACCCGGATTTCAGGCCCGAATACTTGGGGTGGAGCTATCGGTAAGAGGCAGGGATATTTGTAACAGGAATTGGCGTGGTCGATTAATGCTCGTATTTGATACTCTTGTAGAACTCTCTATCTTTTCGGAACATTTCAATGTTGGTAAAGTATCAGCAAATTATTTTACCATTGTAAAGTGGATATTTTTCTCGCTGTTTCTATGTTTCTGTGTTTCTAATTTTATTCTCTTTATTTTAGAGATTCTTAGTATTGATGTTGGGACTGGTCGAGTCGACAGATATGGTGAGAGCGATTTGCGTTCTTGATGACATTGAATCGTTATTCTAAATGCCTGAATTTATGCATATATAGGGCAGAATAATGTAGCATCTAAAGATTGTGTGTATATAATATACTCTGGAATACGTATGTATCTCAAATTGCTTTACTAACGCATGCATCGAGAGCACTGTAATAACAAAAATTCATCTCAGATTACGATGCAATTGTTCTGACGCCCCTCGAGGATGGAAGTGTGCAGGATTTCGATCAGACCGTATTTGATGTAAATGACATGACAATGTGGAAAGCTGCAGAAAACATTGCCAAGGCCATGAATATGGTAATTACATTTGTTGCTGCAATTTTTGGCACAATTGTTCATGACATTGCTGTGACATTTGGATCATACATAAACGATTAACTCCCTTTCGCAATTACTGGAATATCAGCTCCACAAGTATACTTATACGGCAACGTTTACCATCAAATGTAGAGATTGCGGAGTAGGACTCAAAGGTAAAGAGGATTAACGTGTGGTTCACGCTATATTACAGAACGTAATGTATATAATGTGTCTAATGCTTGTTTTCCTAATCAGGCGAAAAGGAAGCTGCTGAACACGCAAAAGGGACTGGTCATACTAATTTTGTGGAATACGATTGAAAATCAAAGCCTACAAAGAATGTACATTAGCAGAGCTTATAATTATATACTTGAAGAAAACTGACCCTATCATGTGCTGTCAAGTGTTTTATTCTTTGAGTGAGAGAGTACCTTGAGGAGCTGTGGGGAGCGCGCATAAACAAAGAATCACGCCCGCAAAATCTGGGAAACGCGTTGAATGTACGCTAGTGATATCAAAGAGTGTAGGGGAATATCCAAAAATGGAGGACAAAGATGAACGTTAATTTTTATCTACAGATGCATCAAGCCGGTTACCAATTTCCTGCTCGAGTTGGCAAGTATCAGACTTGGGATGCTCCAGAAGCCATTATATGTCCTAGTGCTAATATCGATAGAGGTGTAAGAATTTTTAGATGATAAACAGCCCTATACTTTGATGCAATGACAGTTTGTACAAGCTGGCTATGCACTCTAATAAGTCCAAATACCCTGATTCTTGGCGCACTCGCCGCCCGTATGTTATACTGTGGCTTGCTTGCTAATACATATGGTATATAGCACAAAGACAACTGATCTCAACCCGTGCACCAATAATCACAGTCCCACCAGAAACGGGGGATACCGTTGCCCCTATAATGTGTTCTAGATTGATCAGGCTTTTGTAATTTAGCAAACGGGTAAACAGTAATTTTGAATACAAAACTGTAATATTCGGTATCTGCAATAATACCTTTTCCGTGTAATTCGGAAACTGCCTATTACTATTGGCAAGTTTGTAGTTTAGCAAAAGCGGGTAATTTTTTTTTCTCAAGTACAAACTGTAATGTTCTGTTACCTGATACACCATCTGTGTAATCTACTTTGGTTTGGAAAAGCCTATAATGTATTGTTCGAGTGTTCTAGATTAGTATGGATTTGTTAATAAGCAAACGAGTAATTGTAGTAATCGTTAGAACCAACCGTGATATTCAGTCATCTGATACGCCATCATTATACAATCTATTTACGTAATCGATATCTGTAAGACGAGTAGTATTAGACTACAATCACTGGCCCCGCGCTCAAGACCCAAGAGTTGTCGTATGTGCTGCCGATGTCAAATTACTGTCTGCTCGCTGAAATCGAGAAGAAAAGAAATGGCAGATTTAAAAAAGTTTCTTTTGGATTCCGACTCTTGAACCTTCTGATGACGATGACCTCCGATTTTAGCAGTTTAGCTTTGAAAGCAAATAACTTTTTTTTTCCTAGACCTATCCCCTACATTGGTCGCGGACTGTTGGTTTCTGTTTAAAAGTGTTGACATTATGTGAGATTAAACTCTTTATCCTCTGGCTACAGCTATTAGTCATTATCTTGTTGCAATATGGACTGACTTCATCAAGGACTTTCAAAATGATGGCAACGTCGTGGTAGTGTATCAAAAGATTGAAAACCCAACGCTGATGAACAGTGGGGTAAAGAAGGGCATACCTGGATGTACACGCTGTTCGGTCGGATTTATATGTGTTAATGGTTCGGCTTGAAGTGAACCTTAATCATGATTGTTCCCAAATTGCGTCAATCAATAAAATAAAGTTACGCGCACCCGACGTCTTGTTAAAAAAGTTTTGCTATATTATGTTTTATAGCCGTGGTGTGCTTTTTCTCAATTATTTTGTTTCTTTCGGCTACTATTTCGGCTCTTATTTGTTTTAATGCTCATTACACTGACAATGTAAATTGCATTACTGGTTGTGATGGGAAATCTAGTTTACAAAAAACAGAGCATAATTGATGAAACAAAACAAGACAATAACGAGAATGCAAGTCCTAACCTTGACCTAACCCAAATCCAAATTCAAATCCAATCCAAACCTTTGACCCACAAATTCCAAGAACAAGACTTTTAGCCGTGCGTGTTTATTAGGTGAAAAAGACAATTTCGCACAGAGCTACTTTGTGCATTAATGATATAATAATTACATTCCCAACTTCACGGTAGTTTTATTAGCCAAGCAATAATTACAAATTACCTTCGCTTTTCTTACATAGAGAACTAACGTAAGAGAAATGCGGATAAGAGTTTCAATGACATGCCTAGCTTTGGAGTTCTTGCAAATACGCACACATACTATCCGATGCTAATCAGCCATACTGAATGCTTATCCCGGGATTTATCGATGATCTTTACTGAACTCGTAAGCGGGGGCATAATTCTCCGATCCGAGAATGTTTTCAGACCTAGTAATGTAGTTAACACACCGTCGTCAGATACTATATGTTCCCTTTCTATCATCACATACATGCAGACAAATGTTGGTGAAGACATTGACAAGCTAAATGGTAATATGTACGACTATTAAAAATCCTTAATCTCAATGCAAGCCCACCGCCACTTTTCCCCAAAAATGCGATTTCAATGAATACCCGGTTCTCCAACCGGTTTCGACTCGCCAGACCAAAAGAAAAGGAAACTACAAAAAGAAAAAAAAAAAGAGAGATTCCGTCCCAACGTACCGTTCATATCTTTTATCGCCCCAAAAACTTTTTCATTTTCGAGGCCGTCTATGGTTTCCTGTGAGTACGACACTGATAATGCACGCCTTTTTCTTTGGCCATCTCTTTCTTTGGAAACGCAAATCTTTCTTTGGAGATATAATGACCATAGAGTAAACCATATTTTTAGCAAAATGTCACCATGATTGAACCGATGATTCGTTCTTTGTTCTTTCTCTCATCCTCCCATTTTTCCACTGTAGCTGACAAAGGACCGACCGGACTCTTTTTTTTTTTTTTTTTTTTTTTCTTTTTTCAAACTGTTGTGTACAGGAAAACTACATACTTGCGCATATTACAAATCGCCAGAAAAGCTAGAACAAAATGTAAAAGCAGATTATCTCTCAGCAATAAATTTTTCCCGGTGATAAGATCTGTTCCATTGAACCTTGGTTTCTGGCTGCGATACATGTGCCTGGCGTAAAATATTTCTGCAACTCACCTCCCCTCTTCCCCTATTTTAGCGATGCATGTCGATAAATGCCGAAAAAAAATTTTTTTGCATGTTTTAATAATTGATATACTATACGCCACATGATTACATATTGCTATTTTTCGAGATATGAATAGATTAGGTTTGCCGTTGTGACATTATTATGTCATCCCACTAGTTCCCTTTTTTCTTTTCTTTATCCCTTGTATATATGCAATATTTCTATAGGTAGTTTGGTTCGAAGGTTTATGCATGAATGGAAAAGTCTACATTACTTTGTGCGATAAGTTGCGATTCCCATCTATACCCAATATACATTTGTTCGGACATACGTTGACGAATACACGTTGCCGGAAGAAGAGATAAGGCTTTGTTCAACATGAAACAAAAACCTAAACAGTTTTTGGGTGAAAAGGGACGGGAATTCACGGGAAAAAGAAAATCACACGATATTCTTAATGTTAAACAAATGTTTATTATAATCTTTTTCATTCGTCCCAAGTTTAAAGTTTCTTTTTCTTTTCCATCTTTCTTTCTTTTCAAGTAAATTCATGATAACGAGATTGTGTCTGTATTTATTTGTATAACAATTCTATTTGTCCACGTAGATGTCGCGTCTTATTGTTATAGAACAATTAAATTTAATTCATCCTTGCACAGCAAGTCTCAGAGTTTGGTGTACGATAAACACTCTTATCCGTTTACCCCATGTATACAATTTTTTAAAATAAAAATATTTTTACCTTTTTCCCTATGAGCATAAATCTGAAACACGATCGCGGGCGTACAATTTATCCTCCAATTACGTTGCGTACTTTATGATAACATAGTTGCGTATGTTTTGCAAATGAGGGAAACAAAATAGTCAATCACATGTGCAATGATTAAACTGTAAATAGCAATAGATTACTATAGTAATATTTGTTTATATTCCATAGTCAAGGTGGCTTTTTTCTTTTGCCGCATCTCATCTGCTTGTCTTGTGAAAAAAAAAGTAAACCTCCCCCACCTCTTTTCCCTCCCTCAAACTGCCCCATTACCCCTGTATACCGCGGAGAAGGAATTTACCGAATTTTGTGTGTTTTCTTTATTCGTGGCAGAGATAATGCAATCTGCAATACAACGGTAATACAACGCCCGAAAATACTCATGATTGGGTCTTGGTTTCTGTAAAACTCGATTATACAGATATTGCTTGTGTTTAAAATCATGTTTGGGTTTTGGAGATAAGTTATTGGAACACTTTTTGATATTATTTGGTTTTGTATTAAATTACTAGACAAATGTAATGAGAATGTAATTGGCATTGTAATTAGCGATGAGAACCAAACTGTAAAATGCTAATACGAATGTTGAAATTATGAAAAGTGAAGGACATGCCTTTAACAAAAAAGCAAGTTATTTATTTTTTTCGGATCAATTAGAGAATTACCCAGATTCTGGCAATCATGATTGGTGTGCAGTATATACTTTGTTATTTTTAATATGTACTACATTGCGAACACATCTGTTTTGTGTCTTACATCTCTCATTTTCATTATCCCACCTACTGCGTCTCCCTTTCTCTGCTTCCGACCACACGATTGCTTTATCAGAATAGGGGCTCTTGATTACAACAACTTGGCACTCTTTTGTCTCGACAGATCGAGTAAGTCCAACATGAACAAGAAGTAATAATTTATCGCACTCCTGTTTGTGCTGCTCTAATTAGCTTCTTTCATCGTTTCATAAATGCAGCAAATCGGGCATTTACTCATTGAATTCTCAGAGTTGACCGATTTATTGAATTTAATTATAATTAACCAACGAGATACAGCCCCGTTCAATGTGTGATAATATAATAAGTTTAACATGTAACATTCTCTCTTTTTTTAATCATAGGGTGCGGGTTCAATTACCCCGCTTGGAGGTTTTGTTTCGATCATAAGTAAATATTAGTCATATAGTTTGAAATATGTGCACACAACGACTAATACTTTAACAATATAACCAATTTTATTCAACTCGTTATATGCTACATGATTACTATAATTAACCACATGACCATTGGGACAGTCGTCTGCTTTAATGTTCGTTGCACATGCAAAAGTCGAGAATTCTTTGATCCTTTTTGGACTTGTAATTAATACACGAAAGGGGATCGGGACAATGACAACGTGAGTTTTATGCCGGGAAGCGAAAAAGCAGGATGCAGTTAGCATGTATACATTTGTAATAGAATCGACCAATGTCACTCTGATTTGATTATATCACTTATGCATTATAAGTTGCTACATTAATTGTACTTTAATTTGCACACACACCTATATTTGAAATTGACCAATCGTGTTGAACATCAACAATGTTGTGCGCATGTAATGAACAGGGGTTAGTGTGGGGAAAGAGGGGGGAGAGAGAACTAAATGTCCTACACAATATTAACGGTTTACGCTTAAACTGAACATGTATATGGTTTAGTAGTAACAAAAAAAAAGTGCCTATATACATAACGTCATCACAGGTCATTTCTTAATGTGTAACATGAGATTATTACATGGAAAAACTCTTGGCTTTTTTTACCTTTTTCCTCTGCACGCCGAATGAATAAAAACAAACCACATCTCTTTTTTTTTCATATCACATTATCATTCGTGTTCATCACCCATCTATTGATTTTTGAGATCGAATATTGTAATACAAATGAAATGGTTCGAGCTACGCTAACAATAGATAAACCGATTTTGAAACCCACACGACTCCACAATATGGACAATCACTAATTATCTCATTGGCTGATATTTTTATCAAACATTTTACAAATAATCCGATTCGGTTCTTTTTTAATCGACCCGAATAAATAAAGAGAGGAGGAGAAGAAGAAAAAGAAAAAGAAGGAAAGAGAAATGCATAATTCAATCAAATATTGACATGTGAAATATTAGTATTACTTGAACTAGTCCAATTAACAAAAACAAAGTCGCTAGTGACAATATCCAATAATTTGTGACATCTGAAGCGCACGTTACGTCATTAATTAACACGTGCATGAAAATACATAAGATATTCGGTCTACATCCAATTACTATTGAATTGCTATTGTTCTTTCAGGTAACACATCTGCTCATCTTTAATTTAATTGCTCCAGCTGGTGCTTGCTGTTGACCCTGTGTGCCTGCCCGTTGTTGTTATGTGGCTGCTGTTGTTATTGTTGCTGTGCCTATGGCCGTACCTGTAGCAGTGCTCGTAGCAGGGTGCCCGCTTGCTTGTACCCGTTTGCTACTAGCATCAACCCATTTTACTAGTGTTAATACTATCGATCTTTCCGTTTCACAATTACCCGTACAGATTGTCCGCTGGATGAACGTTCAGCCCCAGACGAGAAAAAAAGGAACACACGCCGGGCGTAACTCCGAACATTGCAGTACAACCTGTTTACAACGATTTTTAGATTTAGCGTTAATTAATTAATATCATTCGAATTTGCAATCATATTTCGATACATTTCATCCATTCGTATTTTATTTTCCTAATTTGGATTAGATATACAATGTAACAGAACCATAAATCAAGACAATAGTAACCATGCCCCAAAATTTTCTGTGCGACTTGCTTTTATAGACCCAAGACTAATATTATCTCATCCAATATTATGAGAATTTCAAGCAAGTTTTGTTCACAATCGGGGTTTTTACAGCCCCTGTCGGTGTCATCGTTCTATGCGAATAGTAAACAACATCCTTTATTGGAAATGCTGGACTGGGGATATGGAATTCGGAGACTGGGCTGCGATTCTCCGATTGATGGTGTTGGTGTTGGATGTTTGGTGTTGGATGTTTGGTGGTGGTGTGTGTGTATGGGGGAGGGGGGGGGGGGGATGTGAGGAGTAGTAGGAAACCCTCTCTCTCCTTCCTTCTCAAGCGTAAATAATAATACAATTTGTACTTTGTGATTCCAAACATTTCGCAAAAAGACCGTTTATTGGACAAAAAATGAACCGGGGCATACCCATGTACGTCACATGCACCATAACAACAACAAAAAAAAAATTCACGAACCCGGGGACATTTCTGATGGATGATCAACAAACAGGGATAGAACAAGATTATTCGGATATTTCCTTTCTGCATTCAATGAATTGTATCACCTTTGTAACACACCGCATCGAATGTTTACGGGTTTACCTGCCAAAACCTTATTAATTACATTTTACGAAAATGGACCAGTTTATGGAAATTGCTTTGATTGAAGAAAATCACGAGCGTTTTTCCCATGAAAAATTTGCCGATCATCCGTTTCTCTTGTTTGATGGCAAATATAGATTTGTTTGTAACAGTTTGTATCCCAGATAACAGATATCAGTACCCTTGTTTGTCGTAGAAAAAAAAAGTGAGCTGTTATATGTTTGGATGTATATATCTGTGTTTGTATATGTGTTTGTATATGCGTGCATGGCATGGGTGCGTCATTGGGCGATTGCCACCGAAACTGCAGATGTGAAACGGTTTGTTCTTCTCCATAAAATAGGGACAATTCGGTGGCTGACGGTGACACACAAAAGATCTCATGATACAAGCAACCAATAATAGCATAACAACCCATCACTTGTTTACGCATGCCATCAGTTTTAATCAGTTTAATCTCCACTATCCCTCTTTATTCAATTCCCATAACCAGACGTTCATCCACCTCTAAACAAAAGAAAAAGACATTTTTGAACTTTATACTATGAATAGCGAACGGTATATATAAACCTTTTGATGCGCACAATCAAAGTTTAATCAGTGGGCCTTTTTTTTTCCTTTTCATTATAATTGTTCTTTTGGTGCTGCAAATGCCTGCCTTTTAATTTAATTCCAACAACGTGGCTAAAACCTTTTGTCGGAATTTGATTGCCGATAACATCTCACTTTGATATTGTGTAATTATGTGATTTCTCCCACGGATATACGTTCTGATAATACGCATTGATTCTGGTGCAACCAACGCTCTCTCTCTTCCAATGATCAACTCCCCCCTTTGCTGCTGATGAACTTTACGAACGCCCAGGCTTTATTTATTTACTTTTTTTTTTTCACCCCTCCCCTTTTTTCCCCTCTGCCTACCTTTTTTTTTTTACCTCTATTTTTTTTCATATACAGAATTCGGCAAAAGAAACAATGTATTAACGAAGGAATATGCTCATTGGTAATCCCATTATGCGATTGATGCTGTGTTATCATTGCCACAAAGAAAGAGAAGGGGGTAAGGCGGCGAGAGTAATAGAATGAACAGAAATATGTCGGAATATGAAAACAGCCACTTCACATGACAGATGTCGAGATGATCGATGGCTTATCCGCAGTGCAGTACGCTCATCAGCTCTTTTTTCAAAATCATACGGTTTTGGCATAAACGGAGATGTATCTCGTGTGTGTATGCATACTCATATTGTATATATGCTATTATATATCGTGCAATATTTGTGTGTGTATGCTATTGTATATCCCGTATTTGTACATATGTTACTGTAAGTGTACTTTCTATTGTGTATATATGCATATATGTATATATGTATTCACTTTATTGTGTATTCATATATACATGGACAACACATGTTGCACCATCCGCAACTCAAAACCTGTGTTGCCCAATTCATTTTTGATTTACTGGCTGTTATAAAGAAGAAGAGTGAGATAAATAGGGTTCATGACATAATAAGGTTGTCCCCAGATTAGTGTATGGGAAATAGAATGCGAGTCAATTAAAACTGGTCGACACGATAAGAAAAACTTGTTTACATGGGATTACAATATTAATATACAGTATTGCAGCGTTGAAAAAGAGTGTATATTTAACAAGCACACACACCCCTACAAATGAAAATGTCAAGATATAATTACTACTCGTTATTAAGCGATACTAGTCCATCCAAATGAAAGAGTGTTACATTGACATATACCATAGAACAAATTTCCGAAAATCTATAATGTCATCTTGCATTTGCGGCAATAACCTGCCTATCGAAAATCCATTCCTTTTCTTTTAAATGTCATAACATCTAGATCTAATGCATTTGCTTCTCGCCCAGTCTAAAATTGATGGTTTGACAGATTCGCCGCCGTAACACAGAAAGCTGATTTGTATTCATTATTAATGAAGAGCGAAACATAATTAATATGTGATTGGTGATTAGTGTTTGGAATACCTATTTTTATAATTTATACGGATACTAACCTTAAATAAACAGTTAATAATTAACGGATAAATAATAAAAAGTATTTTAAGCGAAACAAGGTTCGATGTGCGCTACGTCAATAGCACCTATTACTAAAGTAGAAACAAGTGATTGACGGAATATCCCACCTAAAATGATATGGAGTTGAAAAGAGAGGGAATCCCGAAATCTGAATAAATAAAGTCTTGTGATTGAATTTACTATCGACTAGTTAAAGGTCCCGATACAAACTCGCACACCCTCTTCTCCCCACACACACACCCCCCCCCCCCTTTCTCTCCTCGATTTTTTAGTCAGATAGGTGCAATATACTTGCCGATGAGCTAATGAAAGCATCGCTATTAGCAATGTCTATAAATGTACAACTGCATTGCAGATTGCCACAAATTATATTGTTGGTCTAACCATAATTACGCTCTATACTAGTTGATGCATATAAGATGTTGTTTATCACCTTGGCGATCCTCCCCATCGTACAATGCACGTAATTCTGAATCCCTATCACAAGTCCGATTTTTGATTTTGCTTTTAAATGCACCGAATGTCCTGCCAAAAGCTTTTTTTTCAAGAGAAAAATCCCGATTTTTTCTTTTCATTTCAGCAGTTTATTTCTTTTTTATTTTTTTACCAAAAAAAAAGTACTTGTTTGTAAGAGACTTTGGGTTTATAATCTATTATATATATACATATATTCCCGTTTATATCTAATTAGAGGGGCGTATATCCATTATTATTGTTGTTTTGAACGCCTAATTCTAAAATCGAATTCGGGCAAGTAAAAAAAAAAAAGGTCAACATCGGACCCAGTTTCAGTTTCAATCGACCTGTTTTATTTTTACCCAAAGTATCTTCATACAAGACCTAAATTTATAAAAAAAATACATATATACATATCCATATATATATATATCTTATCATCATTATTATCCAAGATTTAATAAGTTGCATTTTCTTTTAAAAATTTAACGAGATTCGACCATCCATTCATCTTATGCGGTCAATTGCGAGGACTTGGTTACTACTACTACTACTTACATGATACATCAACCTCGACAATTACTGTAAATATTCATTTCATACACAGCACAATCCAAGCTATTTCGAAATATTTAATTTACCCTTTAAAATCGTCCCTTCCAAGTATATCTTGTCTCGACGGCAAGATATACTCGTTATAAATTCAATTCACACAAACGCACCATAAATTATCAACGCACCGCATCGCCTCGCATTAAAAAATGACGTCACGAAAAGAAAAAAGAGCACCTTTCTTCGTTTTCGCTCTTCCGTCCGTTGTCGCAGGCAAAAGTAAAAAACTCGTTTCGCTACTAAAGAAATCGGTAAATAGCAAAACACTACCTCGGAATCCGTTCCGTCGTGTTCGCTCCTCCAAAGTATCTGCCAACGTCCAGAATCAAGACAACACTCTCCACGAATCTCGGACCGTTCAAACCGAAAAGACCAGAATTATTAAAGCTACAAGTCAGTTACTTTACGAATCCGGAACCAGTGCATGGCCGGAATTTTTCAATAATCCCACCGAACCAGCTAAACACACCGTCGATGAAGGTAACGATACGGAATGGATAGGCTATGGCGAGATATCAATGTCGCCGTATGATACGGCATGGGTTGCAATGATCCCCAGTCGCAAATACAAAGCGACTCAACAACCGCAAGACTTTGAGCTTGCGTTTCCTCAATGCTTCGCATGGTTATTACAAGCACAAGATGAAAACGGCAGTTGGGCTCGGACCGGACCGGGAAGTATTGCCCCTGCTTTGGCTGCTGTCCTTGCTCTCGGTTCATTTCGCACCAGAGCGGCAGAATTCTTTGAGCAAAAATTGGCTAATCTTGGTATTAGTAAGGTACGGTAAAAATATGGAAAAAGAGAATGTGTGCATGGGTGTATGTGCGTGTATGTGTGTATGTGCGTGTATGGGTGTATGTATGTATGTGCGTATGTGTGCAAAGTGTGCAAAGTGTGAAAATGTGCTTTGGGATTTTTTTTTTAGAGTTGAACTGTGCACGCACCCCCGCACCCCCACGCACAGCATATACCAAACGCACATTTTCGCTCGATTAGTAAAATTCATCTTAACGGTTTCTTTGTATTTTCACAGAAACTCTTCAGTTCGGTATACGAAAAGGGGATAGAATTTCTCCGCATCACGTGAGTATGATTTACATAAACGTGTGACAGTTATGGAATTTGCAATTAATGCAAACGCATGCATTATAGATACATAATTATACATGCGTGCAACATGTAAACAAATTCCCCTTTTTTTCTCTCTCGAAACTAAACAAAAAAAATTTCGCCCTCAACAACAGATTGAACGGATGGAATATCGATGAATTGGACATGACTGGTTTTGAAATAGTGATTCCCTCGCTCCTGTCAGCATTGGAAAAGCTGACGCCTCCAGTCACCTTTGACTTTCCCGACCAAAGCAGGCTATACAAAGAAAATCAGCGTAAATTGAGCATAATCCCGATCGAAGCCATTTTTGCATTAGCTGCCAGACGCCAACCAATCACAATTGTCCATTCGCTTGAATCTTTCACCAACACGTTTGACATGTCCAAATGCCAGAACGAGGGCTTCCAAGCCATCAATGGCAGTTACGGTTCGTCTCCCGCAGCGACTGCAGCCGTATTGATTGCAGCGCAGGAATGGGACGAGAAGGCGTACGTGTTTCTGAAAAAGATTATCGATAATCGTCCGTCGCACGCAAGCAAATTCGGATACGTGCCCACGTTATGTGATGTCGGAATCTTTGAAACATGCTGGATTGCGCATTGCGTTGGAGAAATGATCATGTCGATGGAAGGGAATCCAAGCACGGATTTCAGCACCCCGCTGATGCAAGAATTGACGAGTCGAAATGCGGCATTCATCACATACATGAAGGCACTCTTGAAGGAACAAAAGGGCGTTCTTCGATGGGTAAGCTGGGATAACCGTATTCCCGGAGACGTGGACGATACCGGCGTGGCTAATTATCTCATAAGACACTTTGATGCCGACGCCACGTTCGATCTGAGCCCGATAACAAAAACATTTTGGAACGGTCGATACTTTATCACGTACCCGCTAGAGCGGACCTTCTCGGTTAGTGTTAATGTGCATATTCTCAATTTCCTGTTATCAGAAAGAGAACGAGCTCGTGTCAAAGAGACGTTACCGATCATGGTGCCTACAATCACAAAGACGGGCGTTACGCGACAAGCCGATTTGGATAACATAATAATCACAGATATTAATTGGATGGCCGCACAACGTAATCAGGATCATGTTTGGAAAGACAAATGGAACAGATCTCCGTGGTATACCACAATGAAGTCGATACAGGTCTTGCTCTCGCTACGCAAATATCCGGATATGCTCGCTGTGACATCCTTCAAGAATTTGGAAACTCTCCACGCTTATTGTCGCAAGTCCATCGATCGTGCACTAAGCGTTCAGCATGAGGATGGTACGTGGGGAGAAGCGTCATCTGACGCGCAGGGAAACGTAGAAGAAACAAGCTACGTAGTAAGAATGTTAAAGGAAGCACTTCGAGTATGGTCGGAAGATGAAGAACTCAAAAATGCATTAGTGAGAGGTCGACAATACTTGTTACGGCATTTTGACGAGGCTATGAATGATAAAGGCTTCTTTCATAATAAGCAGCCGTTTTTATGGGTAAACAAACAGTTATACACGGTACCGAGGATTCTACGTGCATCGATGTTATCTGCGCTTTGGGAAGATTAATATTATAGATTGGGTGGATTTCACATGAAAATCTTAGAGGTCAATAGAGAGCTTTTTTTTTTCTAATTATTATTATCTCTTAAGCGTGCATTTTACGTTTATTATTATTTTTTTTATAACCTTGTAATTTTACAAAAACTTGTATTTTTTGCAAAGAAAAAACCAACATTTTTTTTTTCTATTTACAATTAATAATTTCGGCTTTTGCACGTTTTTTTTATACAAACGATGTGTGCTCTCTTTAGTCCCAAAACTTGCAATTTTCAAATAGTTATGATGTCCGCTCAGACTATTACAAATTCCTTCTCCTCCTTCCTCCCCCCTCCCCGTTTTTTAAAAAAGAAAACGACAAGGATTAAATTTTTTTATTGTCGTAAAATTCCAAACACTTGGAAGAAATCGTGTTTCCTTGATTGTTTTTTTTTTATATATTTGTTTATCTGCAATTGAAATTTTGTTTGTCGTAGTAAAAGAGGGAAAAAAAAAAGGGGAGGAAAAAGGGAGGAGAAATATGAAATATTCGAAAGATGGCAGATAAGATTAGTTTAGGTTTTCTATTATTCGTAAATATTTATTCAATATTATTTTTTTTCTCTGTGGCTTGTACCTGTTTGTTTATCCATTATTGTTTTCAGTTTGTTTCTCTTCCCTTTAGCAATATTGTAAATGTAAGGTATTCGATGTAATATATAAACACATGTTTGCTTTAAACAGATGAAACATTTGTCCGTCTTGTATTATTACAATGATGCATATTGCATATATTCTGCTTCGGTAACAAACTAACTAGTATAATTACAGGTAACCGAATAAAGCGAAAAATTTTTTTTTCATGTTTACCAACATATTCGGTCTTTTGCATCTGCCCCCCGCACACTGCACACGGCACACGGCACACCGCACGAACCCACACCCACATTTCGATCCGCAGAAAATTTAATATCACATGGATGATCCTCGTGCTCTCTTACCCACAGTTTACTTGACGTATGCTTGTTGAATGTGGAGCGTGTTAATGACCTAAAGGAGGATTGGTGTCTTGGAATGCTGCAGGAGTCAAACTGGTTTTTTATGGGAATTTATGAAGTAATTTATCCTTATTAGTGGTAGTAGTAGGTAATGACCGAATCTTAACACAAAACTTAAAGTGAGATCGGCAAATTGATGACGCGCAGAGAATGTATGAAATAATGTTTATTGCAAAATACAATCGAGAATGAAACTACTCGTTAATTCAAACTTCTCCCAAAAGTCATTACCAATTAACAATTCCTTTAACTTGGTAAAATAGCCGATGGTATTGGTAAACAAAAAAACTCAGTCATTGATCAACAAACTCCCTTAACGTTCGTTCTTACGTTCAACTTTCAACAGCCGATATCAGAGGTCGTTCATTTGTGATATGCGAATGTAGATAAATACTGCTGAACGAGCCAAAAATTGGACAAGGGCCGTTTTCCGTGACTGTCCATCCATGGAGGTAATATGGTGCGATTCCTAGTATTTCGCAGTGCATAGTATTCATCAACGTCATATCGACGTTATATCATAACTTGATGGCTTGACAATTAATAGACAAAAGAGCATCTTCCGCACGTGCAGCATTTCAACATCTTGCGTCGCAAACCAATGAATCTGATACAGTTTAGGCGCAACAAAAAAACTTTCGGACAACGCGTCCAAACAGTATAACCAACTCACCCTTTGAATCTGCTAAAACGAATATAGTAAGCTGTCTCTCTCTCATTATTGCCGCCAATTACTTAATCGCAGGCTACTCGAATGTTTGTATAAATATCTTTAATAAAAATGTTTGAGATAAAATAAATTAAAATGTCCTCCCACCATTATAACCAATCTATATAGTATTTTAACGTTTTGATCTAATTAATCTCTTGACTAATCTTCTGAACCTATTACTACGCCGAGCTTGACTAATTTCTCTACTCGTGACTACCGTCCCTTCAGTATTTGATTCTGGTCCATACTGTTCAATAAGAGTATTGTGAACTTGCTCACTAGTTGGTCTCTTGTTTGGATCTTCGTCCCAGCATCCCTCGTACAACTTGACATACTCTACCGGAACACCCTCTACCGGCGCGTCACGAAAGCCTTTCATCCTAAATATAACAATCTCGTGGCTTTTCGTGCACTCTTTGCACGGTTTCTTCCCACTAGAAACTTCCCATAACAGCACGCCAAGGCTGAAAATGTCAGATGTTTTAGTTCTTCTGTAGGAATCGTACTTGAACGACGATGGATCTATGTATGCTGTATGACCGTTACCGTGGGAGGTGGACATTATTTGTTTTAGCATACTCGATAAGCCGAAATCCGTAATCTTTGCCGTGCCTCCTTGGATGAGAACGTTACTGGAAGACTTGGAATGCATAAAGGCGATTGTAAAGCATAATGCCGGACGCGTTAGATTTGTAATAATCATTCACCACAAATTGACAAATAGTCTTTGGATATTGCGCATACCAGGTCCTTGTGTATAATATCAAGGTCGTGTAGATATCGTAACCCACTGGCAATCTCCATGCCTAATCGAAGTTTGTCTCTCCATTGTAAATTGTCAAAATTCTTCTCCAAGTATTCGCGCAAACTTCTGTCAGTCGCATATTCAAAAATCATGTGATAATTGTCGTGACTATCTGTGTATAAAAGAAATTAACGAGTATAAGCCGTTTAGATAACGTAAAAAGAAATAATAGCGTAAAAAAAGGAAAGTGAAACTTTAAAAACCAATTTTATTAATAGCTGCCTGAACAACAGAACGCACCTTTGCATAGACCCAAGAATCGAATGACGTTTGGGTGGTCATCCACCTTCTTGTGCGTTTTTAACTATTATATGCAGAAAAGAAACGGATATACAATTATCAATGCAGCCCGGAGTGACGATAAAGAAAACAACGGATAAACGGCAAGTCAGTCTTCAGCCCACCTCTTTCACCAATTGCTTATAGTGGTCCTCTTCGCAGCCATATTGATTTAGGAACAAAGTCTTCATGGCGACTTGTATTTGAGGATGCTTGAGTCTTGCTCTGTAGACGACTCCGGATCCGCCATGGCCAATAATTTTACGTTCTAGTATGTCGCTTTCCGAGTAGCATCTTATCAACTCTTCTCGTATGCTCGTGTCCAGCCATACTTTCTGCGATGTCTTTGACAAAGACATTTGCACGAGTGAAAAATCTAGTTACTTTTGTAGAATGGTGGGGAGTGGCAAAGTATTTGGTTGATATGTAAGGACCTTGTGTACTACTTATGCATCGATTCGAGCACGTTCACACGGCTGTCGCACAAATAGCTCTTTGTTTTGCTATTTACAATATTTCTTACAATCAAAAAGGTAATAGAACCGAAGCAATCCTCAATTGAAAAAAAAATGACAACTTTTTGGCCCTCGCTTTAAAAATCTTCAAACACGTCGAACCCGGTGGGACGGAATGCAAGGGTGAGTAAATAATGCTAGCACATTCTTGTCATTGTCCAATAAGATGTGGCGTTTGAAGATTACGCAATTCAGGTGATCGAAGCTTTCTGGTCTTTTGGTTAAACGCTTACAGCCCCCCTCCCAAAACTTGTCAAATAAGTCAAAGTCTGCAATCTTTAAACGTGTCATGAAAAACAAACGCGCGCGGTTCTGCGGATTCCCAACTTTCAACACGGCATATCTGACGTAAATATCGTCGTTACAAATCTGATTCATATAATGATAATCGCGATGCAGAAATGAGATATTTATTTGTGTTATAATAACATGCTTTGAATTATATCCCAATAAGGTTATCTCCCAAATGAAACGCTTCAACCCTGACATGAAACAGCAAGTGATGTTAATCGGAACAGCTAGAGAATTCCGCTTGAACGATTCGATCTCATTCGGAATTCGAGAGATATTCTATACCTGCATCGGTTCGTTGCGTTGTCAAGTTAACCGGACATTGACTGCAGCCTTCTGTAAACGTCTTCAGCTGACGGACGCCTCTTGGGGTCTTCACTCCAACATTCCGAATATAGCTCGACATACTGTTCGGGCGTTCCTTCAAACGGGGGATCACGAGAACCATGCAATCTGTACATAATAACCTCATGAATCAGAGTCCGCCCTTCGCACGGGATTTTTCCACTCGAGACTTCCCAGAGTAAGACTCCAAGACTGAATATATCCGATTCTGGTCCACGCCTATCCAGCGTTCCGTTAAAGGATAGCGGATCTATGTATGCGGTATGCCCTTTACCGTGTGATGCAGACAGTATTTTCTTCTGAATATCTGTGGACAGATCAAAATCGGATATTTTTGCAACGTTTTCTCGTACGAGGACGTTCGAGGAAGACTGACAAGTGAACAGATGAAAAAGTCAATATGGTGGTTGTTGCGTTAACCATGGGAAATGATTCAAAGCAGCAATCTGATAAACACACGCTACCAAGTCTTTATGTATTATCTGAAGCCCGTGCAAGTGTTTTAACCCATGACTAATGTCCAACCCCAACTTGTGTTTATCTCTCCAACTCAAATGATTAAAGTGTTCCTTCAAGTATTCACGCAAATTTCCGCCATCGGCATATTCAAAAATTACATGATAATTCTTGCGCGAATCTGTGTGTTAATAAAGCGAGTATGATTGACTACGACTATTTACTATCAGACAATCGACAACGTAATCAAAAAACGTACCTTTGCATAAACCCACGAAACGAATAATGTTTGGGTGAACACCCACTTTCAGGTGCATTTGCAGCTAATTATGAGAAATATCCAATCCGAACAACATTTGAATATAAAATTCTATTTCTCAATAAAAACAACACCAACAACGACAGTACCGCGGCAGGAGCAAGTAGTAGCAAACCTCTTTGACAAGATGTTTAAAATATTCTCCGTCATCGCCATATTGGCCCGGTGACGAAGTCTTTCTCGCAACAACAATTCCAGACTTTTTTATGATTGCCTTGTGTACTACGCCAAACCCACCGTGACCGATATGTGTAGGGTCTAATTTTAGGTCGCTTTCCGGGTAACAAATAATTGATTTTTCTCGAAGTTGTCTGTTGAACCACTCTTTATACTCGTCGTTGGACATTTTTTGGACTTTGGGAGACGTAACTCTTGTCACAATGTTGAGAATGTTTATCGAATAAAACCCCTGAAACACAAAATCTCTTGACTGTGAGACATCTGAAATTGAATGAAATAATTCACGTGATTTTAGTCAATGAATATCTCGAGTTCTCGCGCATAACTTGATAATTGGCAGAAATCACTTTTTGCATATGAACTTGCTTTCAGTTATTGTATGAAAGGGTAGCAAACTGTGGGGGCATGTATACTTGTCCATAGCCCTGAAATCACTGACTATGAAGGCGATAGTGATGATAGTGATGAAGCGGGTAAAAACCCATTAAATAAGCTGCGGTCAAGCGAAAAATACGAGTTATTAAGGATTGATATTAGCAAAATAGAAAACTGACTATTTCATTGTTCGGAATAAAAGTCGCGTTATATGAAAAGGTGTCGGCGAAAGTGTCTACCGATGGTCTATAACGCGATGGCCTTTGACGGGAAGCCAAATCATGTTGGGATTTTTCGGAAAAGTCTGGCGCTTCCAACAAGACAACGATCCAAAGCATACGAGCTCTGTTCCACCTTTATTGTAAAAAAAAAATGCTACTTGATTTGTAGTTTTCTATTCTCTAGTTGTGATCAAGTCTGCTAACAATATAATTTGACATACTTATAAACTTTTAAAAACAACAGTTTCTATCTTGTAGACATCAATCCAACGCTGAAATGGAATATCAGTGAATGCAAATTCATTACGTATCATGGTTCAAATAATCATTTGCATCAATTGGATCGAGTCACATGCTCATGCACCAAAATTTTGGCATTGTAAAGCTAGATGCAAAGGATCCGCTTCTCAGATAACTGTGAGGTGTGGCGTATGGAAGTAGCCGCTATACTATTCTTCCGGCCAATAGAAAATCTGTGGAGCATAGTTAAACAATGCATGGTAGAAGAGTGGAATAATATTCCAGAACTCTAACAAGTATGGAGAATCAGTACTCTTTGGCTGGATATCTAGCTTGCCGTTACCGTATTCAATTTCGAAAAGACGTTGTGAGGCAATTATTGAAAGTAAGGGTGAACGAGTGTTTTGTCCCATTCACTCGTAATTTTATACGAGGACACAATTTTTTGTTCCACATTGTGTATACGAATTTTCATGGGTGTAGTTTGTAAAGATCTCAGACTTCAAACATGCCACTTTCTGCAAAAACAAAACTCTTCAAAAAGAGCGAAACGAGCATAGCATTTATTCGGACATCAATACAAGGCCAATACAAACTCATTAAGAATCCAATCTAAGCAACTTACACTTTACCTTTGATCATTCATCAAAGTTAATCTTCTGATTTGATAATGCACTACATAGTTAATGTCTGCGTAAGAAACTTGAAAGCTTAATGAAATACTGCATCTAGGATAAACAAGTAGAAATAGTAAGCCAATTTTGTTATTACTAACTCCATTATGAAGGCAACTCCAGTAATTGGAATAAACTAAAAAGACCGTAAACGCAACAGTGGGTATAACAGCGGGGGTCAGTGAAATCCATGGTCCATAAGTGAGTAACAGAATCTGTAATACGCAAGGCCGAATTGACTCTTACACGAAAAATGCCCAGATTATGCATTACTTTTGCTGATAAGCACCGATGCTTCCATGAGGAGACGAACGATAATCAAAGTCACAGACCGATGGATAAAGTTCTCATTCTTGTGAATCCTTCCTTGTCTTCTTTCTCATAGCCTTTAAATCAGCTTCCTGACGACTGTACGTACGCTGAAGAAAATCTTGTTTCTCTATGAATCTACGTGTTTGAAGTGTTGCAAAACGTGAATATGTAATCACACAAACCAATTTAGGTAGACCACCACCGCAGTATCTGTTCAAGCCCAAACTTACCCATTTTTGTTATGATATTTCAACTCATCTTTGATACCTTCCTTGTCCACAAATTTATTCCAGTCCAATTTAGACTTATCCAGTGTATTTAATTTTGTGGGTTTCTTCATCGCGTCCACCAACTTGCTCAGGTTAGATTTTGCACGCTGAGACTTTGCCGGTCGTTGTTTGACGGGAAGAATGGGTTTGCTCCGAGATGATTCTGAGGATTGCAAACTGGCATGAGAATTGTCGTTTAATTGCTCAGATGAAGATGTTTGAGATTGTGCCAACAAGTATGCCTTGGCTTCATCTGAATCTTCAGGGACCTCTGTCTCTTCTCTAGAAAGGTAAAGAATACGACAAAAATGAGAAGATAAGCAAAAAAAAAATCCTTTACAAATTACCGAGAGTGCATTAAAGCTTGTAGTTACGTGATGAAATCCCCCGCAAATTCGTACGTACGAGTGATAGTAATAAGCTTTGATGAACCGCGTTTTGCGACCTATCAATTAAGTCATGGATCACGATTTTGTCGATTTACTTAATTACAAACAACAATTAACTAGAAAAGCGCAAACCTTTTCCGGGTTATCTTTTAAAAGATCCGAGTCTTGCTTCTCGCTTTCTTTGTCTGTTTGTACAGAATCATCTTGTTGCAATTCATTATTAGCTTCATTATTATTTATTTGAGCCCACATGGTGTCCATACGTTTCTTCATTTCTTCTTCAGATCGTTGTGTCTGATTTGCAACACCTGTCTCGGATCTTTTTGTAAAAGTAAAATTAACACGCTGGCATGGAGAAAAAGAAACAAGGCGAAGGTTTGAGGCAATAATTGAAAACATGGCTCGAATCTGACGATGATCGAAATACCTTAATTTTTTCATATCCCTTTCATTACTATTTAATCGAGCACTTTTGCGTTTACCACCCGTTACGACTGAACTAGCATCTTCTCGGCCTTCCTCAATAGGCACAAAGTCTTCGTCGCTTTCGCTGTCCGAAGCTTTAGCTTAACAAAATTTATATTAGTTAGCAACATTCTATTTAAACTAGAATTATCAGAATGGCGTCAATTCAATCAATTGCTTGACAGAGGTGGTGTGTAAATTAACGACTGAACCTTGAACGTAGGCCGACTATGACAGTGACAACTAATGAAGGTATTGAGATTTGAACCACCTTCTATTAAGCTTTTCATCATTTAAGTGTATAGTAAAACATACCGTCAAAAACATAGTCTTCATCTTCACTGTCTGACTTCAAATTACTGTCAAGCAGCGTGGACATTATTTTATATAGTATTAGAGTTGTTGAGGGAACGAACAGTTGTTCGAGAAGCCAAGTTTTTTCGTCTGTGTTAGTGTTACCTTCGTCTTTATGCAGATAGAATCTCGTGTTCTTGGGCTGAACAGGGAGCACTAGCGTTACAAATTTGCACGAGAAATGTTACGCCTCATTTCTTGTCACGTTACAACAATCCCGAAAATTGAACAGAAATTCGATTTGAAATGGTCACCATTACAACATATGCTATATACAAGTGGGTGACTTTCGACATAATTTACTGATCGATCGAACAGCATATTATAAGAAAACGGGCTTGCATTATGGTCACAAGATTCTACATTAAAAATTAATAGTAAACATTCTTTATGTAAAAAATCAGGACTAGCTAAAACTTTTCTTATATCGGAGGATTTGTATAACGAGAGCCAGGTGTACTGTCAGTCAAGCATGTAATATAAGCTATAAACATGGTTTTCGGTAAATAAATATCCGTTATATAATGGACTGAAATTGCGCAATATTAATATTTCCACTATTTCTGCTGTAATATCCGACTGACTGCAACAACAAGCGACATTATCGTCATCATTATCATAATTGTCAGACTTGAGTGGCCGCTTGTACTAACGGTGATCTATAATTAACCAGCAAGAGAAAAGGAAAGAAAAAAAAATTAGCAAATGGATTTGTCTTGCGATAAACTGTAAACCAAAGTAACGAATACATCTGAGTTGTTGTATTACGCATAGTCGATCAACACGAGTCTCTGTCAATAGAGCGCGTACATTATTACTTCCACTATTCTTGAAGGATTACCAGAAATGCAAAACTACAGGCTTTCCCTATACCGACCTGTATCAGTGCTGGACTGAGACAACTGAGTTCTGAATGTCCGGGTCCGGAACTAAAACAACCGAATTCTTGAAACGAGACGAGTCTCAAATTCGGATACAACACTTTCTCGGAATTATTTTACTGCACCCCGCATAGCTTCCAATAATGATGCAAAGACAAAAATAACAAAACTTTGTAAGTTCTAATTAACGTTTGGGATAACCTCTTTGAAGAGTGAAGAGTTAAGTGTTGTGGAGAATATCACCATTTTTCATGACTGTAAAATACATCTAATAAGAAACGGGCAGAGAAGTTACAAGTATTGCTTCGTTCAAAACACGGAGTGTTACGAATTTGCAAAGGGAGTAATGCTACGGATTGCCTTTTGGAGTGTTTGTTTTAGCAACCAGCCCAAACTCCTGTTTTTATCAGCTGAACGTACATACAGTACAATTTTTTTTATTATTTATGTTTTTATTGATCGTGTGGTGATTTTGATTTGCTAAAAATTTTGATTTGTTAAAAATTTTGATTGGCTCCAATCTTAATTTCATGACCGGGAATTGAGACATTAAAAACAGGAGATCAAAATCACCATTACTATCGAACGTTGAAAAAAATAGCATAGTATAATTAATACGTGCAACGGATAAGGAGTCAATTACGGGAGAAAACTATTTAAACTAGTCGGCTAATTTTGGCCGATTTCTAAATAACGAAAATTTGGTGTGGTCGTGAGGCGGCCGGTTAAACCCGAGGCTTTACCTGTAGAGACGGAGTCAAACACTACACATCAGCGTTGGAATTTCACCGACAGTGACAATCAACTACCAAAAAGGGATAACTTTAAATAACGTTGATGAATCCGGTGAATATATGCCGGTGAATATATGCTGGTGAAATGATCGTCTCCACTTCTGAGTACATACGAGCGGGCCTGGTTTGCCGATTTTTGGCTGGTTTAGCCAAAGACTGGTTCAGAAAATTGTTTAACTAGAGAAAGTTTCTAATTTATAAAAATTTGATGTAGTCGTAAGGCGGTCGGTTAAAGCAGGTTTTACTTGTAAAGCACAAATGTTTCTATTGCTAAAAGTTGCCTTTAAAGCATTAACGTTTTGGCATCAACGCTCATAGACCGCAAGAAAATTACTTGACTTTGTCTTTAGTTGACTCCTTATTCGTTGCAAGTATAAGTGTACGCTATGTTTCAACGTCCTCAATTCTGGTCATGGAATTAAAATTGGAACGGCTGGCATTACTCAAATTAAATCCTTATATGTAATAAAGAACCAAATACATAGTCAATCTCGATAAGTCGGCCAACAGTAGCCCACCTCAAATGGCCGACTTATCGAGAAGGCCGAGTGATCGATGATATACATTTAATTAAATCGTTTATTATTATTAACGTTAATATAATTACATTGTAAAATAATCTTGCAGACTAACTTGTCTTAGAGAATCGACTTGTTTCCTTCTTATCTGACGTTGTAAATTTTTTATTTCTAACAGCACAGAACTGCTTACGCTCACATTATTCGATTGCTGTAAGTAGTTCAGTAAATTTTGGATACTTTTTAAAAGCACTTTATAATTGTTTGTGTAGCCAATGTGTATTGGACAATTAATCATCGTACGGGTGTGGACCACCAATTAAATTGAAGAAACTGCATTACGTTTTACAAATTGCCACGTGAAACCGACTTAGCGACTTATCGAGAATTACCGTAAACTCTCATGAATAAGCACCTACCCTCATCATATGAAGCGGTGCTTATTCATGAGACGTTTGGTTGCCTTGGAACAATGCAAAATGATCTACAAAAACATCACGTAACAATTGTCCGCGTTCTTTTGTTTGTTACATAATCGCGAACTGCGCATATCACATATGACGTTAATTAAATTGGTAATCGGGGGGGG